GAAGTGTCTTGATTGATTTACCTAACTGTTTTTCAACTTTTACTCAGAATTCTCTAAACTTTCTAAAAGTTTCAGATTTCTATTGCATTAGGTAAACATAACCATATCTCAAATAATCATCAATAAAAGTGATGAAATATTCGTAACCTCATTTATCTTGGGCGTTTAACGGTCCACATACATGTGAATGTATTAGCTAAAGAGGTTCTGTGGCTCTTTCTCCTTTCAACGTGGAAAGCCTCTTGGTCATTTTGCCTTCTAGACAAGATTCATAGACGGGAAGCTTACTAACTTTTAGTTCGCATAAAGGACCATCCTTTACTAGTCTTTCAATCCTGTTTCGACTAATATGACCAAGTCTAAGATGCCACAGATATGTGTTATTTAGCGTGAGCGATCCTTTACTTTTTATTCTTAGGTTCGATAACTTTTAAACTTTTCAATAGTATGCAGTGAGTCATGCATCGGTTTAAACAGTATAAACCATTTTCCAAATATCCAGAACATGTTTCAGAACAATTCTGAAAGACGTGGACTAGATTATTATTTAAAGGTAATTGTTCAAATAATTTAGAATTCGAAATCAAATTTCTCTTTATGCCTGGAGGGAAATAAGCATTGTTCTCAACAAGGTATTTTCAAATTGAAGTCTAACTTCTCCCACTGCCTTTGTCGATACCCTCGTGGTATTCCCACCACCGTGTAATCCCCGACAGCATGTTCTTTGTAAGAACTAATATTTTACAAAGAAAACCAAACATGATTAGTTGCTCCCGAATCAACTATCCAGGACAAGTAATCACCCTCTACTAAAGATGTTTTTAGAATTAGTAAATATTATTTACTTTGATTCTATTTCTTTGTTTAGGTGGAAATAGTTTCCATTTACAAACTAAAAGCTAAAACTTATTAAAGAAAATAAACATGATTAGTTATTCCCGAATCTACTATCTAAGATAAGGAATCACCCTTTGAACTAAAATATATTTTTAGAACTAGCAAATCGTATTTGCTTGGGTTCCTTTCTTTATTTCGGAAAACAATTTCCTTGTAAGAACTAACACTTAATAAAGAAAACAAAACATGAGTAGTAACTCCCAAATCTACTATCCAGGAATAAAGAATCACCTTTTTACTAAACATGTTTTTAGAACTAGGAAATCATATTTTCTTGATTCTTTTCCTTTATTTTGGTGGAAATGACTTTTCTTTTTGTCTTTTACTCAGGCCCTTACAGTATTTAGCCAAGCCTTTTGTTTTATGGATTTTCAGATACGGTATCTGATGACTGCATTATCTCATATCCATGCCTTCATACTTCTTGTGAATTACCACGCACAACCCTAGCTAACAGTTAGCTATAGTGGTTTCGTTAGGGACATAAGGACAATCCTCCATCTAGGACAAACTTATATTTATCACATGAATGTAAGTTGTTTATGTTACTTTACCACTTCGTATATTTTATCTCTAATCAGTGTTTCAGTTTTGTGTACTGAGATTATAGGATTTGACATATTGCTGAAAATAAGTAGAATATTCATCTAATCAATTTATGTGCATGAATATCAAAACATATGAATATAGCCAATTTACTACAAATAAAGTGTACCTTTGGGTAGTCAAATTATTTACAAATTGAACCGAGACTCCTCTCAGTTAATAAATACAGTCAAAATATCTCATATTTTCATATTTATTAACTACTGTTATTTTGGTCAAAATATAACCAACAAACTTTGATTATATCTTCGTAAGTGTAACCCCACTGTTTCAGATCCCATGGACTTAACTCTAAATTGCTACCTTTGGGTAGTCAATTCAGAAATACATCCTGAAATGCTATCTCTAGGAAGCCAACCTTGTTATTGATCCGGCAAGAATACTCTCCTTTAGGAGAGCGATTCAATGTCGCCGCAAAGCCCCTCTCCGGATCCCACGGTGTTGCGCTAACGGTGGAGACTAGTGGGTCGTATTGTCATACAACCATCGCCCACTCATTATTTTGCAAATATGTATTTTATTTGAAAATCATCTCATGTTTTTCAAAAAAGATGACAAATAAACACTTTATTTTTCAGACATGTGAAATTCTAAAATTTAACTCTTAAATTCAATTTCACATATAACATTATTTTGCAAATCAATTTTACAACTTAAATCAATTTAATCATATTAAATCAATTTAAGAGCGTGGTTCTTATTTTATTTTATTTTTCTAAAACTCTTTTATAATAAATAAAATAAATAATAATAAATGCGCGTGTATGTATGATATGTTAAAAAAAACATATGAGTAGGCACACTATATCTATATGGCATGTTATATGCATAGACATATAATATATAATTATCAACATAAAATATAAATATATGCAATCGGCTATTGAGATGGATTTGACCAGGTCCCATAGAAAATATAAATTACAACCAAATCGAATAAATAAATAATTATAATAATTATTTTCTTCCGTTACATCAACAGGTCTTCGATTCTTGAATTCCTCATTCTTCAGCTTCGTTCTTCGTCTTCGGGTGGGATTCCACCTTCTTCGAGGTTTGAAACTCTTCTGGATCTGTCAGCACGCATTACGAGGGTTTTAAAAACCCTCAGGCCCATTCGGGGCCCATTAACCGTGTCTGGAATGCTAGCCGCGCGCCTGGGCGCGCGCGCGCGGGATGGCCATGCGTCTGGGTGCGCGTAC